TGAATAAAAAATAGAGAGGGAATAGTGATAATAGAGGACCAAGAATACAAGCAAGTATGGAGAGATTACTACAGAGAGCTCTTGACGGAGGAAACAACAGAAGAAGAAATGCATAACGAGGAGGAAACGTTACACGAAGAAGAAGCAGATGAAGTAGACATCGAAATTTTAAAAGAACCAACATTGGAGGAATTGGATGAAGAAATACAGATAAGCAAAAATGGAAAAGCCCCTGGTAAAGATGGAATTAATATGGAACTAATAAAATAAGGGGGAAGGGAACTAAGAGGAAAAATACTGGCACTATTGAAAAATATATGGAAAGAAGAGAAAATGCCAGGGAACTGGGAGGTAGGACAGATCATAACACTTCATAAAAAGTGAGACCAACAAATCTGTGAAATACAACATATAAAATATTGACATCAATAATAAAAAAGAGGTTATCAAAGATCACAAAGAAGACAGTAGGACAGTACCAATGTGGATTCACAGAAGGAAGATCTACAATAGATGCAATACACACAATAAAACAAATAATGGAAAAAGCAAACGAGTATAAATTAGAATGGAAATGTTATTCATAGACCTCAAACAGGCATTTGATTCAATTAAAAGGAACGTATTAATGATAGCACTTAAAAAATTAAAAATTCCACATAACTTAGAAAATTAATAGAAATGACAATGAGAACTACAAAAATAAGCATAAAGACACAAAGAGGAGATACAGATGAATTCAGTATAAATAAAGGGATGAAACAAGGAGATGCCTTATCAACAACGCTATTTAATCTAGCATTATAATATGTACTACGAAATATAAATAAAGGAAATCTCAGAACAAGAGGTGGACAAATAATTGCATATGCAGACGATATTGCTATTATTGCAAAGAACAGAAAAATAATGAAAGAAATGCTTGAAGAAATAAGAGAAAAAGGGGAGGTAATGGGGCTAAGATTAAATCAAGAAAAGACAAAAATATTAAGATTAGGGAAAAACCAATAAAGGAAAAAATCAAAATAGGAAGTTCTGAGTTTGAAGAAGTAGAATACTTCAAATACCTAGGAGTTACAATAAGTAAATCCGGAGAAAGGAAATCCGAAATAAAAGAAAAAATATTAGCAGCGAATAAAGCTTCTTTTGCAAACATAAGATTACTTAAAAGCAATACACTGACTAAAAAAAGTAAAATCGTCCCAGGAGTGCAACTCAACAATATTGGCAATATCATTTTAAAGTCGTCTACTTTAAAATGCATAATGTATGTCTGAATTGTCAATATAAATGAGTCAGATAAAATTAAATTATTAGAAGAATTTTTCACTATGCAACAAAAAACAAATTTTTTTTAATTTACTGTTTGTATTTTGAGAACGATTTCCGAAGTGGAAATTGAAACGTCAATAAACGTATTTTTATCTTTAATTGTGGCTTATTCCCAGTTAAATAGTAATTAAAAAAAGTAAGATGAGCGTTTATAACACCATAATTAGACCAATATTATTATATGCAGGGGAAACAATGACGATGGTTAAAAAAGATGAAGAAGACTTAAGAATAGCAGAGAGAAAGATTATGAGAACCATACTAGGACCAATCCGAACAGAGCCAAATGAATATAGAAGCAGAACAAATGCAGAAATTAAGGAAGAACTTAAGGAAGACATCGTAACTAAAATAAAGCACATTTGGCGAGCAGTCGATGAGGCAGTGACATACGCAATGATAGAATGGAATCCAGGAGGAAGAAAGAGAAGGGGAAAACCGAGATCAAAGTGGCTGCAAGAAGTTGAAGAAGACCTCCAAAGGGCAGGAGTCAGTGAATGGAGAGGAAGAACTAGAGACAGGAAAAAATGGAGAGATATTGTCAAGAAGATAAGATAAACAAAAAAAGACTGATCCACTTGAAATAGGATCTAGAAAGCATTTGCGGATTAACCACACACTGGGGTGTATAGCCATTATAATATAGATTGTAGAAGATCACTTGGTCGACCGAGAAAAAGATGGAAGGATGATATTGAAGCCGATTTATCTAGAATTGGAGTACAACAATGGGAAATAGAAGCGCAAGATCGTAGAGGATGGAGGGCGATAGTGGATGCGGCGAAGACCGAGTTGTAAAGCCAGTGAAGAAGAAGGCCATACATCTCTCTAATGTTTCTTTCCATTTCGCACCAATTCTGCCGTACCTTTGCGGCTCCCTGTTTGATCTCATTCTTCGTATTTGCCACCGTCTTTGTTAGCTTCACTAAGTCGTCGATGCGGTCGTCCATTCACTCTCATCATTGCTATTCTCCGTTTCTTTTCCACTGCCATTCTCCTCCATTGTTTCACCTATATCCCCGTTTTCCCCTTAGTTCTTCTCCTTGGCTCGTCATTTTTCTCCTCCCGACTGTCCTTTTCTTCCTCTTCCGCTATTGCCGCCAGACTCTCTTCGCCTATATCCTCCATAGACTCTCCTACCCCTATACTTACCTTCTTTTTTATTAAATATTTTTCCATTTTTCTTCCCACGAGTTGGGTTGATTCTTCGGTCCAGCGGGGCTGTGCGCACATACTCCGCCAAGGCTAGAATCCCCTTCGGTTCGCCCCCTCCTTAGGACATCGCTTAAGACCCACTTTTCCCCTTTAGCCATGCACCCCTTCGTCATGTTGGTGTTACACCTTGAGGTTGGGGTGGCGATATATTAGAATGATGCATAGTCTCCTGTCCTATGTATATCCATTTGTTCTTAGTGGTTTTTTCCACTGGTTTTTGTATTAGATTTGTATGAGGTTTTCTCCTCGGGTATAGGATTGGGTATCAGGACGTGTATGATAGGTAGGGGTGAGTGTGGTATGACGGTTGAGATCACACAACGGGGTTTTTGCTATCACACAGGGACAGGTTAGGAATTTTGGTAGTGTACAGCGGACAGTTGCACCATTTAGTCGCCTTTTACGATAAGCAGGAGAAGCCGTGAAAGTATTCTACTTGAGCGGTCCGCCTTCACACGGGAATAGAGCAATTATCTAAGGCTTGTTTAAATTTATTAAGCGTATATAAGCGTATTTGGTATTGTAGCGATCTTTAAACTTTAAAACAGATTTGGACAATCAATAAATCCATGTCCATGAAAATTATATTCTAGGTTATATACAATCTAAGTAATATATATCAAACCTGGCGACGACGAAGGTGTGGCCCGGCAGTTATGCTGTTAATACACTTACACACAGGATACAGACGGTAGGGAAACGGATCGAAGGAGTAGAGATGGAGCGGTCCAATCAACACTCGGCCCAGTGAGGAACGGACGGTGTCCAATCAGTACTTGGACACACGAGAGAATAGGTATCTCTGATCAGTACTCCAAGCTTGGGTACGGAACTGTCATTAGATCAATACTCTAGTCTAACAGACGCGGTGGGGCCTTAAGTCAATACCCTTGGGCCAGTGGAGTTGTTGTCAGATCAATACTTAGACAGAACTATGGTTTCTGCGGCAAGCAAGCAAGCAATTTAATTAAACCCAGCCTGTGAGACATGTCCACTCCTAAGAATGACATTCGGGTGTAACAATTCATTGTAGCGAGGTGTATTAACTCGAGTTAAAACAGGAGTCATGGGTAATAGGATACACGATAGGGGCACAACTATGAGCCAAATGCTCTTCATGTAGTAGTCATGGGTAATAGAACTCTAACATGGTTTCCTAACCGAATCAAATTCAGGACAGGGTTTGTCGCTTTATTCCTGTTTTTCTCATGTGACTTATCCGCGAAACTAAAATTGCTTACTTGGTGGGCTTCGGAGAGTTGGTCCCTACTTGCCCGCGTTTTTAAGGTTTTTGTTAATATATTTTTTTGTGGCTTTTGCCACACAGATTTTTAGTAGTTTTTTAATTTCTTTGGTGTCCAAAGCCGTTCTTTGTGTTTTTTATAGTTTTTTTTTGTAGAATGAACTGACACATAAAATCATAATTAGTGTATACATTTAATAATTATCAATGTACCTGGGCCTACACTGTACTTGCGTTTGTCCACGATTTTATAGAGCTAGAGCTTTACTTTCTCTCTGGTATTTTATTGGTTTACACAATACTTAAACAAAAACCGCCAAACAAACGTCAGTTTTGGGTGCACCCTTATTGGAAAGAGATGTAAGGGCATTGTAGATTCAATGTATTTAAAGAATTAAAAAAATTTGGACTTGTGTTGTCATAGATACCTGGAAATTTCTCAATTAATGAGACAAAACAAATATTAAATTCTGGACTGTCTTCCATATTTAAATTTTTTAACAAACACACATGCAAATTGCAAATAGCACGTGGCAAAAAGTAGAACAAGCTATATTTTTAACTACGTGGCGTATGACGCCACTGTCATTTTGGTGTGCGGTGAATCATTCGTTTGCATTGGTTACATTTTAAGCAACATGCCACACACACACACGCGCGCGCGCCCACACACACACACACACACACACACACACACACACCACACACACACACCACACCTTCGTTGCGCTTGGTACCTAGGAGAACTGATAAAAATTCCACACGTAATATAGGTTTCTGATTTTGAAATGCTGCAATCTAAATGACTTTAATCACATTTGAAATTCAAGGACTGTGAACTGGTAAAGTTATAACAACGTTATATTTAAGCTTTTAACCTCAGACACGAACTTATCCAACATAAGTAGAGTATTGCTGCTCATGTCAGAACTATTATTAGTACTCTAGATGGGTGGGAGTACTAAAGTCTATCCATGAATATTACATAAATTTATCTGTATTTGCTATCTGAATTTGCTTTATTGAATAAAGTTTGGTTCTTGAATAAAGTAATTATTTTATGGCTATTTTGCAGTTTTAGTAATATGCTAGACTTACTGTTTCATCAACAATCAGGCTTAGTTTGAACTAAATCAGCTTCTGGAAATGTGTATAGTAGATAATAAGATAAATATAGATAAACTTTACCCATATAATATTCTTGTTTTAGTTGTACTCTTAGGTGTATCTCTCTGTGTTGCAACAGGAGCAAGTCAGTGGATTCTTGACCCAGAAACTAGAATAGTGTCATTGTCACAATCGTTAACCAACCATCCATTTTTCATTCTCTCTACAGTGGTTTTAAGTAAGTATTATTCAATGATTAAAATAATAGTTTAGAACATTTGTAGGCTGAGTGATATCTGGGTATATCAATAACATTTTTGGTAAACTATTGACAATTTTAAAACTTTGTGAGGGACAGAAGTAGTATATAGGTGCATATGCAAATGTAGCTTTTGTGAATTGTTTTGATAAAGACCAAATCAGACCAAAGTCTGAAATGCAGAGACTTAAGTCACTGCCATTCAAGTTCTAATAAGACACTTTTCTAATAAGAAGTTTTAATTTCTTGCTCAAAATTATTTTAGACAGATACCAACAATTTAAGCAGCTAATACCCATTATTGTTAACTTTAGATAACCACAAACCTACCAATAAAGGCAATTCATCGTCAAAATTTTCATTATATATGAGATATATAATATCAAATCTACTTCAAAATAAATCTTTTTGCCTCTTCTTTTTCAGAAAATTCAGCGTCTATTAGGTATACTATTACCTTGTAGCGTTTTTAAATAAAACGAGCGGTTCGAATTTATATACATATATTTATTTATAAGTGTACAGTTCGGTAATATCTTAACAACTAAACCCAACTCGTAAAATCGTTACATATATAGATATATATATACCAAAGTTCCTATGTTCTAGAACATTCCCACCTCTAATTCGCCTACGTGACGGGTTGTTTTCTCTCGCACTCGATATCGCTCGAAACTTCTAGTTGCTTTCGAGATGCAACCGTTACACGGGCCACGCTGAATGCATGTTCGTAATACTGCTCTCCTCTTAGATCCGAGCGTCCCGATCAGCAACTCTATAATTAGGCCCAGGATGGCGGAATCTACAAAACTTTCCAGCTCTGCAGCCTCAGCATAAACTCCTAAAAAAAATAACAGTCTACAGTCTTTGAAGGACACGATCTCTTCGGATTAGTGCAACACATAGTAATTCTTACGTCGCTTTCTCGAAAGATCACTTCAAGCATGCTTCTGATAATCTTCCAGATTATCTAGTGCATGGCCTATCTTGGGTAAGGCCAAACTCTTGATGAGGTAATTGCAGACGATTTTCTTCAAATTAGTTAGAGCACGCCATATATCTTCGTAGGTTGCCCTATTTCGACTTCCCGGTCACCATATACAGCAAAGATTGAGGACCATATTCTAATCTCAGTACTTTCCAACTTTAGGCTGCTGATTTTTCAATTCGTCCAAACGACCGAACTTCTTATAAAATACGTATGAGATTCCTTTAGTCGTCTCAAGATCTTGGGCAACACAGTAGGCTAGAAAGACGTTATGCGGATCACTAAAAAGATCCTGCTGAACTCCTGTGGTCACGCCGAATCTAGCACGCTTTCTCTCGGCGTAATTTAACATAAACTCATTAAAGCTTAGTCGCCGGTCATCTTTGATCTCATGTTGACGGGTTCGGGCTTCTTCTTCTGTTTTATTTGAGCCAGCATAAGGTGCAAGACGATTTATGTAAACGACTTTTGGTTTACCTTTCGGCAACTTCTTAATTCGTCATTTATTCTCTTTTTAATTTCATACAGACCCTCAAATTGTCTTTGCAGTTTAGGAGACAAGCCACGACGACGTTGTGGATTATAAAGCCAAACAAGATCACATACTTCATAGCTTTCATTCTTGCATCGAGAATAGTATTGATCTTTCATTCTGTCACTTACTAACTGGATGTGTTGTCGGTCAAGTTCATGAATGTTGTTCATTCTTAACATCAGGCGGTCGACATAATCTTCGCTTGCAACATGTTCTTCGGAAGGTCACAGGGCAAACGAACTTCACGACCTAACATCAGGCAGGTTGGAGTCTGGCCTGTAGTTTCATTCACGGCCGAGCAGTAGGCCATTAGGAATAAATGAAAGTGCTGGTCCCAATCTCTTTGATGTTTTGATACAACTTTGGACAGGTATTTACCCATTGTTCGGTTCATCCTCTCGACCATTCCATCTGAGTGAGGATGCAGGGGTCTCGTTCTGGTCTTATTGACACCAATCAATTTACAAACGTTTTGGAAAAGGTTTGACTCTAAGTTTCGCCCTTGGTCGGAGTGGATCTCCAAGGGAGCATTAAATCGGCTAAAGAATTCTTTAACCAATACCTCTGCAACGGTAGCAGCTTCTTTATTTGGTATCGCATAGCCCTCAATCCATTTCTTAAAATAATCCATGGCTACCAGAATATATTTATTTCCATCATTCGTCTCTGGAAGTGGACCTTCAATGTCGATTGCTACTTTTTCCATAGGACTACCAACATTGTACTGTTTCATGAGTGCCCTCTTTTTACCAACTGGACCATGACTGGTTGCACACAGTTCACATTTCCGGCACCACCTTCTTACATCATCTTTACAGTTCAGCCAATAGAACCGTTCTCGAACCTTTTGCAGAGTCTTCGTAATACCAAAGTCTCCACATGATGTACCGTCATGCAACTTACGCAATACTTCTGACACTTTAGGTACAATCAACTGAAGCTTAGTTTCTGTACCATCATCGTTCTCAAAGGTTCTATACAGAAGATCATCTTTCAGCCGTAAGCAATTCCATTGGCTCCAGTAACACTTGACTTCTGGACTACATGCACTAATGTCTTGCCAAGAAGGTCTTTCACTTCGAAGCATCCAATTCAATACTCTTTTTATATACGCATCATCTGCTTGAGCGTCTTGTAGCTGTTGAGGCTGCCATTGATCATAATAACGGTGGTTCGTCTCACGGGGCAAAGTCGTTCTTCTAATACAAGACAATGATTACGATTTGCACTGTATGGCCGTCTTGACTGAGCATCAGCATTTTAATGACTTTTTCCAGCCCAGTGTTCGATATGTTCTAGCTTTCTGACTATTATTTGCTTACAATTTACGACGAATGTGACCTCGATAGCTCGATACTCAATAGCTCCGTGAAGCTCGACTGGCAGTCTCGTGTTCAAAGGTAATGGCGAGCGCTTCATCTAAAACTTTCGGTCTTGTTAGTCGTAAAGCTTTCTGCAGTTCACTATCTCTCAACCCATTGACGAAGGCATCTACAGCAATTGCTTCCAAAATGTTTTCTAGTGCCTCTGGATAGGCCAACAGCGCTATACGAGCAACATCTGCTTAAAATTCTTACAACCTCTTAATTGCTCGTTGGATTCTACTTCTTATTTGTACTTTGTAGACTTGTTGTAGATGGGCATCTCCGTAACATTTATCTAGTCGAGTTAACAAGGTCTGGTAAAATTTTTCTTGGCCCTTTGGAATCGATCTCAGGATATCTGCAGCATCACCTCGTAAAGCAGCAGTCAAGGAAACAGCTTTTTTTTTCTTCTGCTCAATGATTGACTGTCGCAATAGCTTCAAATTGTCTAAGGTATATGGACCAAGAAGACTTCCCATCAAATGATGGCAATTTGAATCGCATATGATGTGTCGTTTCGTCCTAGGTGATTCGTCTTTCACTACCGGTTCTAAGGCTACTGTGTTAACTGGTGGTAACACTCTTGTATTGGTTATAATTTTGATCTTCTCTTCTACATCTTCTATCTTGTCGTTTACATTTTTCTGTATCTTATCGACTGTTCTTGGACTTCTTCAAATTTCTCATTGTTCTGACTACATATTTCTTTAATTATTTGTGAAGTCTCGTCGAATCTTCTAGATGCGTTTTCGAATGTTTCATCCAATCTTTTGGAAACGTTCCCTAATTTATCATCCTTTTTTTATACGTTTCTTCAATCATTTGCGAGACGTTTTCAAATTTCTAGTCGAATCTTCTAGACACATTTTCGAATTCATTATCATTTTTTAAAGAAGATTCTTCAATCATAAGTCACTGCTGAATTTATATACATATATTTATTTATAAGTTTACAGTTCGGTAATATCTTAATAACTAAACTTAACTCATAACATCGTTATATATATATATATATATATATATATATATATATATATATATATATATATATATATACCAAAGTTACTATGTTCTAGAACATTCCCACCTCTAATTCGCCTACGTGACGGGTTGTTCTCTTTCGCACTCGATATCGCTCGAAACTTCTAGTCACTTTCGAGACACAACCGTTACACGGGACACGCTGAATGCATGTTCGTAACAACCTTTACATTGTTATCATTTTAAAATATAACGTTCTGTCGTTTTAGTTGGTAGTAATGCATTCACAACCAATTCTTTTGTTTCTGATAAGAATATTTATAACCTAAATTGTATGTAATGACTATATGTTCTGTAATTATTTTGTAACATAATTTATTTTTATCTATATGTTTATGTATATGTGTTTTTAAGTATTTTTAAATATGTGTTTTGTAAAAGAGCGTTTTTAAATCAAAATTTTTTGGATAGTTTTCGCCATCATTTCGTCCCTACCATTTCCAACTATCGAATGTGAAAAATCGGGTTTTTCAGATTCGATACCTTGTCCTTGCATTAAACGTGATACACCTTGTAGCAAAATATCGAAATTGTAGCTTGATCAGAAACGCGGGAAATATTCTGTCTAAACCATCGAATATGAACATTTTGTCATTTTATTTTGGTCAAAATATCGAATATGCTGCAAACTGACGAAAATGGAATATTCGATATTTTGTTTTGTATAAATATAACTAAAGGCATATATATGTACAATGCAAAATGACGAATGTGTCACATTCATTATCTTCAGTGTTGTATTTGATACAGTTATTCAATTATAATCTGCAAACTGTCGAAAATACTAAACATTGCTGACAAGAACAAAACGCACGTGTTCACAATTTGTGAATTATTGCTTCCAAGAAGTTCTTTCGGTGAGGCACTTTATTATTTTGTTTTTTAATGTGTCACATACATTAGGTTCAGAGTTGTAATTGATACAGTTATTCAATTATAATTTGCAAAATGTTAAAAATACTAAACATTGCTGACAAGAACAAAACGCACATATTCACAATAATGTGTGAATTATTTCTTCCAAGTTCTTTTGGTGAGGAACTTTATTAGT